CAATTATCTGCCATTCTTCACCTCACCTGTTCACCTCTCAAGCTCTGTCAGGTTGGATGGGGGCAGATGCACATTTTCAGGTTTCTCCAGAAATATTTGATTGGGTTCAATCCCAGGCTCTGGCTGGGCCATCAAGGACATTCACACAGTTGTCTATAAGCCACTCTTGCTGTGTGCTTAGGGTCATTGTCCTGTTGGAAGGTGAACCTTCTGCCCAGTCTGAGGTTCTGAACGCTCTGGACTGGGTTTTCATTAAGGCTATCTCTATATTTTGCTGCACTGAGCATTCCTTCTACTCTGATGAGTCCCTCAATCCCTGCTACTGAAAAACAGCCCCTCAGCATGAGGCTGCTACCAGCACACTTTACTTTTGGGATGGTACTCTGCAGGTGATGAGCAGAGCTGGTTTCCTTCAAACATGATGCTTAGAATTGAGGTTTATCAGACCAGATAATCTTGTTTCTCAGCGTCTAAGGGTCCTTTAGGTGCTTTTTTGTAAATTCCAAGTGTGTTTTCATGTCTTAACTGAAGAGAGGATTGAGTCTTGCCAGACTGCCATAAAGCCCAGATCGGTGGAGTGTTGCAGTGATGTTTCTCCTATCTCCACATATAATCATGGAGCTCAACTAGATGACCATCAGGTTCTTGGTCACCACACTAACCAAAGCCCTTCTCCATCAGTTGCTCAGTTTGGCCAGGAGGCCAGCTCTAGGAAGAGTCCTGGTTGTTTCAAACTTCTTCCATTAAGGGTAATAGAGACGACATGCTTCTGTGACCCTTCAATGAAGCAGATTTTTTTTTCTGAACTCTTCCCCCGATGTGTGGCTTGACACAAACCTGTTTCTGAGCTTTACAGGCAGTTCTTTTGACCTCAGTGCTTGATTTTTGCTCTGATATGCATTATCAGCTGTTAGACCTTTTATTAAGACGTGTGCCTTTCCAAATCAGACCCATTCAATTGAATTTGCCACAGGTTAACTTCACTTGAAGTGTAGTAACATCTACAAGCAATATGAATGCCCCTGAGCTAAATTTCAACTGTCCCAGAACTGTATGAATACTTATGCAATGGAATCATTTTAGTTTTTTATTTTTAATAAATTTGCAAAGATTTTAAAAACAGTTTTTTTGCTTTACCATTATGGTGTATGGAGTGTAGATTGATGTGGGGAAAAAAAGTCATTTAAAGCAGTTTAACATAAGGCAGCAACATAACAAAACGTGAAAAAAATTAAGGGGTATGAATAATTTTGCAAGGCACTGTATGTTGGAATCAGCTGAAAGTGAATAAGACATGTTGAATTACAAGCCCACTTCTTTTTAAAACACAGGAGAATGTACAAGCAGAACTGAGAGGATTGTATTTTTCAGGCAAGCCACAGGGAGTCATGAGTAATTGCTGCATTTCACTTAATATCAAGCGTTTTCTATGTACATTATCTACTGAATAAAATGCCTAGCAAGGGAAAGACTGAAAGACTGAGAACTTGAAATTGATTCCTGCATAGATGCCACTTCCGATTCAAATTGGCCACAATACACTGGCTGTCACAATACAAATTTGTACAAATACATAAAATATACAGTGGGGCAAAAAAGTATTTAGTCAGCCACCAATTGCAAATTAACCATGCTTTTATTATAGTAAAAGTACAGTAACCATATTTTTTGTTGTTGTTGTTTTTTGGCAAATGGATTACCATTTGTATTTATTTTTTACTAAAAATTCCATAGTTAAACTATGGTTAATGTAGCAAAAACCATGGTTAATTTGTGGTTACCATGCTTTGACAATAGTATTGTCTTTGGATTTATAGTAAAATCATTGTTCATTTTTGTAAGGGTTGTGTTGTTGTCTGCCTTAGCTCCCCCTAAACCTATTAGAAAATATGATTATTTGTCTGCTAAATGACTACTGTAACATTACAATAGACAATAATGTCCTTTATACAGTATTTTGAGGGATGACTGATGAGCAACGGGCTGCTGTTGCTTAGCTAAGTAAACAAAGATAAAAGTGCAATAGCATATTTACAGATGAAATTGACCTGCACTTGGAACCCTGAACAGTAGTTTTGCTTCTCTGCTCCACCTGTGCGCTTCCACAGTCCACTCCATTCTCTCTCTAGCATTGATTACTCTGATCCAAACTGTTTGGCAAAGCATTGCCAGTCACGACTAACCGATTCATGATTTATTAGAGATTTAATTATCGAATGGTGAATTCGGAAATAATCGTTTTAGTACATTCGGCAGGCAATTATACAATAATAATATTAAAATAGTTAATAACGAGAATTGTCCCGGTTCTCCCGATGGCCAGTCCGCGCCTGATTTCCACAGACACGCAGAACGTGCAGGACTCATATATTGTCTTTTCGCGGCTTAATATTCAGAGACACTAGTCCATATCGTGTTTTGATTCAAGTGTACTTACCTACTTTTGATTTATTCGTCCAAAATGTGGCATATTCCGTCCGCGTTAGGCTATAGGACTTCCGTTTTTATGACTGGATTCTACGAACCAGTCTGTGCTTTCCGCATCGCGGAAATTATGTCTCAGAGTAGTCAGTGCAATTTGGAAAA